GGGGGGGGGGGGGGGGGGGGGGGAAAAAGGGGGGGGGGGGGGGGGGGAAGCATGACTTTACAGGCTATTATCAGTCTCCTGGGACAATAAAAGAGGCATCTCACATCTAAGATGGCATCAAATCTGTATGCAAGCTTCAGTGTTAACTAAAAAAAGAAGGGGCCTGGAGTGTTTACTCTGATCTTCAAGCATCTCCTTGATCTCTCACTGAGGCTCGCTGTCTTTGTGAGAGTCTCTGAAGGGAGATGAGCTTTGATTGCATTAAAGCAGCCTGAACTTGAAAGAACAGCCGGCAGCACAGCCCTGATGACCTTTCAGGAGCTGAGTAGCAGGGCTTAGTGTCTTACGATCAAGATGAAGCTAAGCCAGCTGGCGTGCCCCAGTTTAGCAATGGCCTCTGTGCCTCAGTAGTAGCTCTGCCCTGATTACAGTGTTGATTTTCCCGCTTGCCTCTGCAACTGTACCCTCCTGAGGAGCGAGACTGCCGGGCGATAAGGCTGAAGTCAGTTCTGCACAGTTGGACTGGAAGGGTAGCTGCCCCTACAGTGTTGCCTGCGAATTTCCTGTCATTCTGAGCAAAAACCTTCCTTGCCTCAAACAGCGACCACAGACTGAGATAATCAGAAGTAAATATAGAAGGAACCAAACATATACACACCCAACACATAGGCAGGCACAGGAAGTATGAGTCTATTTATTGAAACAAAGGCAGTTATTTTTGTCAGGCAGGCATGGCCACCTTTGAGGCAACAACTGCGTCAATGCTGTTCTTTTGCCTGCTTCCTCAGCAGATATTATGGGCCAGATCCTGACTTAATGTAATTGAGCGTGAGCTTTAATGGCTTTAGAACATTAGCACCTCTCAGGAGGGATGTGCGCCATTAACCTGGGTGCAGCCTTGTTATTGTTGCAGATGCCAAGGAAGTTAGTGTGCCCTCCTTTCCCCCCCTTTGTCCTCCTTCCCAATTCTCCATGTCCTCCTTTGCCTGTTCAGATATCTGGTAACCCTCAGTCAGTTTTTCTTAAAGTGTGGTCTCAGGACCCTCAAGGATCCCCCAAGACCATCTCAGAGGTCCACAAAATCAAAATTATTTGCCAGATATTGATGATATTTGCAAAAATTTAAAACAATGTCACTCTTCTCGTTATCATTTTTTATTTGTTAAAAAATATAGTTTTTTAATGAAAATATTTTATTTATGTTAATAGCTATTGCGTTTAATATTGTTATTTTTACATGATTCAATAAATAAATATTCTACAAATGGGTTAATTTTAATTTTTAATATGGTACATATTGATAAATAAAACCCATACAAACAAAAACTCTATTGGGATCCTCCATAATTTTTAAAAGTGGGAAGGGGTCCTGAGAGCCAAAAGTTTAAGAAACAATACTCTAGTAGGCTGAGCTCATGTAGATGGGTTTAACTTCTTCCTGACACTTCATTTAGAAGGGAAAACAGGCAGAACTCTTCTCTATTTCTCATCAGATCCCAAATATCTCAGATCAATATGTACTATTCATAACTTTTAATAAACTCATTTTGGAGACACCCAGCAATATTACCTCTGTCTATCTATCTATCTATCTATCTATCTATCTATCTATCTATCTATCTATCTATCTTCTCTGCCATGGCCCCACCCTATGGAATCCCCTCCCTCCAGAGGTGAGGCAGGCCCCTACTCTCATGACTTTCCGGAAAGCAGTCAAGACCTGGCTCTGCCAACCGGCACGGGGCAAGAAAAGGGGCAACCAACCCTGGCTAGCACCTTGAAGATGCTCCTATATGTTAATATCTTTTCGATCACCAGCATCTTGGGAGAAATTATTATTTATGTATGTATTTGGTTTTATTGGATTTTTATACTATTTTTATTCTATTTTAACTAATATTTGTTTGCTGTTTTTATTGTAAACCGCCCAGAGTCACTTCCTCATGAGATGGGCGGTGTCTAAATTTGAAATATAAATAAATGAATAAAATAAATCTATCATCTCAGATATGTTTTCTGGTATTTGGAAAGACCACATGTACCAGTGTATATAAGAAGCCCGTACAACATCTGAATGGCACTTTTCAAACCACAGGTTAAGATATTGCATAGACTAATTTGTGCCAAAATATACTCAGCCCATAAATTGGGTAAACATATCCTAGAATAATTTCTTTAGGCATAAACCCTTAGATATACTCTATGGGTTATTTCCAATTACTTTGACCAGCAGAAGGCACCACGTGATAGACAGGATATATAAAAAATAATTCGAAAAATGTTTAAAAAACAAATTCCCCCCACTCCCCACTCAAGGGGGTTAAGTGTGGAAGTTCCCAAAAAATTGTACACGAGGCCATGACATAATGTATCATCTGTATCTCTCTGCTTTAATGGAGGGGGGACTGAATATACCTTTCTAGTAGAGTTTCTGTGGGTTACTTCTCTTGGTTCTGTGTGCAGGAGCAAAACGATGGTGATCTGTGGGGCCACCCCATTATTATCTGTAGACAAGGGCTTGATCATGAAGGATTGGTCAGAACACAAAATAAGCGGAGAATTTGCAGGACAGGATCAACACAAAACGGTGGACAGAATTAGGGCTATTGACAGACATTATGAAGTTTTTTTTAGTGCTTTTGAATCCCACACACAGATGCCCCTAGCGTATAGAGATCTTCTGCAGTGGGCTTTGCTCTGGGTCCCCACATGAACCACTTATTATCCCTAACTCGATGAGCTTTGTCCAGCTCCTAGAAATATATATATTGTATGAGTTAGCCAACTGAAATCTTTTTTAGTTGCCATGGCAACCAGAAATATTGAGCAGCCTGTCTTTGGTTAACTGTTCATTAGTCACAAGTAAAACTGTTCCAACATAATCGTACTGCTTGGACAGTGAAGGTTGTTCTTGTATGATTGGTGATGTGCCTGAGTGTCCTTCTTCTTGTTACCTTCATTTTTAAATCTTAGTCTTCCTCAACAGTTTCCTCAAACAGGTTTAGCCTCCAGGTCTTCCCAAATTAGGCAAATAGTCACATCTGTGCAATGATGGGTATGATCCCTTCTGTCCAAACTCTGGCTTCCTTAAAGCTAGCAACAATTCATCTCTTTTTCCTAATCTGGCCATTCTGTCTCAGAGATACCCGCAGGGTGCCAAACAGACAAGAAGAGGAGTTGTTGCTTTTGTGGTCTGGTAGTGTGAATCCCTTGCTGAAAGAAGCTGGGGCACAATTCTAAAGCATGAAGTCTTTAAAAAGTCAACTAGTGAAGCACACTCCAAGCCACTGTTGAGACATGACGCAAAAAAACCACATCAGGAGGGAGAGGGAGAGGAAAAGCACTCTATCTTCCTCCCTGCCCCCTCCCTTCGCCCAGAGCAGGTAGCAGAAAGCCACGGCAAGGACAGAAAAGGGGTGCTTGTATGCATCGGATGTGGTGGAACAGACTAATGAGATCCACACACCTTCTAGACTTTATCCCACTGATGTTGGTGGAGATGTGGGGTGAGTAGTTCTACCAGACTATGCTATCTGCACATGTTCAAATCTCAGCAGAGAGTATAAATCACTTAGAGGCTTCAATAAGCTTGAGCTACAGCCCTTTACCCAATCTATCTAGACAAAGACAAGACTGACACTCCCGTTGTTGGCTGATTTTTTTTTGAGCTAGGGGCATGTAAAGGACTTTCAGCACTTGGGAAAAGACCTAAAGGAACATTGAGTATTAGTATGCAGCTCTCTTCCATCTGGAAGGTTTTCAAACCAGTCTTCTTGCTTCATCTGGCAACAAACTTGGGTTGGCTGTGTGTAGCCCAAGAATTCCAGTACCATTTCTGGCCAAGGCCTTCCCTCTCATGCGCTCTCCCTCAATCATTGAAATCTGCTCGGTTATTTACTCCTTCCTTCACTGCAGTGGGGTTGGGAGCAGCTGGATCTGGGGTTTTCACTGCAGGATTCCTATTTCCGATGTCCTTTCTCTGTGGCAAAGTACCTAGTAAATTCCCTAGTACTTTATTTAAAATATTCCATTTTTAAGAAGATTATGGTTAATTTTTTCATGTGTATAAGAGTTTTAAGTTACTGGAAAGTTGCTGCTAATATCCATATTTTTAACAAACTTTGTGGGCTGACTTGTTAATATCCTTCATTATTTTGCTACTAGTTTTAAACTATGTTTTTATTGCTAATATTTTATAAACTGCTGATAACTTTATATAGACAGCTATTGCAAGAACTTTCTTGGATAAGCATGTGGCATGTGCATTTAAGAGAAAGCTCTCTTCAGGGCACAGTGAATGAATATAATGGCTCTGAGATTGCTCTGCTTTTGGGGGGCCAGTAATGGGCTAGTAATGTCAGAGTCTAAGCTTGAGCACGTATTCTCTTTCCAAAAACTTAATCCAGTAAATCAAAATTTAGTATTTAATTGTTTTAGCATTTTGGCTTCTGCATTTGGACAGAGCAATACATAATTCCATGTCTGACAGATTGGAAAAATACGATGAAATGTCTATCACTCAACTTTCTAGGTGAAAGTAACCTAGGTTCCAATAGAAAAGCACAAATCAACCTAGTCTAGTCTAGGAAGAAAGATTGATGTGAAAATGCAAGTTTATGCAGGATGTAATCTATGTGGGCGCTGCAGATGTACCCACCATATAACTGCAACCATTAAACTGAGCTATAATTAAATATGTATATAATCAGGGTAAGGGCTTGTTGCTGAATACTTGCTAGTTACTTGTACCAAGTGCTGATTCATTTTGAACTATATAAACCTGTCTTCCTGTTAATATATCCTTCATACCTGGTCATTAATCAAAAACCTCCTTATCTGTTTACACCCTCATTATAATTTAATTAACCAGAGATCTTGAATTTTGTCTATTGAAAATTGGCAGAACTAGCAGAAAATCTGTATTTCAGCATAAGGCTGCACCAGTCACTACCCAAAGAATATAATTATTGTAAATAGAAAAGAAGTATTACCTGCATACTGAAGACGGAAAGGTGATCTTAGGCTACAACTGGAAAATCAGAATAAGGAAATCAAGTCAGTTCCTCTTGAATTAATTGGGGGGGGGGGATGCAAAGTAGGACTTCTTTTTCAGTTCTAATCTAGGCAAGTGGGTTCCACTAAATGTCCTGCGAAAAGTGAATCTATATGTATACATTTGTAATGGTTTATGGTAATGCCATATCTTTCCTTTCCTTTCCTTTCCTTTCCTTTCCTTTCCTTTCCTTTCCTTT